CCCGGCCGCGCGCTGGCGCCCGGCGGAGCGCGGGACTCGCTCGGAGGGACCTCGCTCTCGGAGCGGCCGCGCCCAGGCTTGGAGCGTGTGAGCGGGTGCGCGCTCCGGGCGCTCTCGCCGCCCTACTCTTTCGCCCCGACGCGAACCAAGCAACCCCTCCTACCACTGCTCTCCGTCTCTGTCCAAAGCACGTTCTCCGGTGCGTGGCGCTACCGTGGTTAAACCGGACCACACCCGCCAGCTGTGGAGAACAGAACCCCTGATTCCAACTTAAGAAGGCGCCTCCAGGGCATAAACCACGGGCCTGGGATGTCAGATGCCCAAATGTAGGAGCTGGGGCCGATTCACCATCGAAGGAAGAATTTCCCAAGGCCGGGCCCTCTGTGATCACTGTGGTGACTTGGGGAAGGTGGAGGCTCTCAGATCAGTTTTAAGGTCGAATAAATGAATGACTCTTGGAAAAGACGCTGAGGCTTACCTGGAGCTTCGCAGGTCCTGGCTGGTTTTCTAAGCAAGTGACGAAACCCATGAACTGCCAACGTGTCCCAGCACCCAAGGCGGAGTACTATCGAATCCTGGATATTTGGAAGGGACCTGGGGATACCTCTCATCCACTCATCTCTTCAGCCTTTCAGGCAGTGATCCCCCTCCCCCCGGAAGTAACCAGGAAGTACTGAACTATTTTGGGTATGTGTGCCAGGCACTGTACCACAAGCCTTTTAAGTACATACTCTCATTTAATTCTAAAGTCTGTGTAACAGTTATCCCTATTTTACCAATAGAAAACTGGGAACTCAGAAAGGTGTCACTTACCCTAGTTCATACAAGGGGTAGGGGATTAACTGTTGTTTTTTCTTTTTCTTTTTCTCTTTCTTGTTTTATTTCTTTTCCTTTTACATAATACCAGTGTCCAGCCTCAATCTCTACAACTAGCACCTGGCACTCTTAGCTATTGGATGGTGCTGTCTATAGGGACATCATCTAGCAAATCTTATTTCAGAAAGGTAATTCAGGATTCCATCCAACAGGCAAGCTTTGAAATCCTGCTGGGAGTGGTGCTGGGTTTCAGGGAGCTTACATGGGAATAGCAAAGAAAATGCAGAGTTGTAAAGATGGCTCAAGAGAGTTTTGGAAAGATGAGTAGACTCTCTGCCCTAGGAAAACTAGGAGAGGAAAGAAACTCTGAGAAGGTGTGGGGAAGGGTTGAGCAGATGCTGATTCCTGAAAGAAGAAACCTCTTAGAGAAGAGGAAAAGGCATGTACCCGTGGAGATGGCAATGGAGAGAGTGATGCCCGGGCTTTGTTATAATGGTGGGGAGGCGTGTGTTAAAGCATGTAAAAATAGAACACCGATGGGCTGTTCTATGGCCTAGCGGATCCTACATAGCCAAACAGTTCAAATCCCGGCCACAACAACTTGAAACACACCCAGGTTCATGTGTATGTGTGCTCAAAATCCTGACAGGATGGAGGAATGGTGAAGGGATTGCAACTTGATCATGTGCCATTAGGGGGTACTTTCTCCCTCTCTCTGCCTCTAGTGGATGCACACACCCTCTGACAACTAAAAAAGAAAAAGAAATATAACACTAATGCCATTGTGTTAGGGAGGATTAAAAAGCAGTAAGTTAAGAAGTGACTTAAAAAAGAAAAGAAGATCCCAAGTTTTAATATAACAGGCAAGATATTAGAGAGGCCTAAACCAGTTCAAAGGCATTGGTTGATTGCCAGAAATATCCAAATTTGAAAAATATTCCAAGGACATTTGTTTTGTTTTGTTTAGAAAGATCTTTTTATATAGGGCCTGTGCACTCATCAGAGAGATAGAAAGTAAGAAATCACCCCCCAGAGGGGATAGCCACCCCGCAGTCCCTTCTTCTCCATTCTCCTCTTGGGGTTTTAGGCACTCACACACATGCGCCTGCAGTGAGTTTTAAACTCCCAGGTCCAGGACTCGAACAGAAATCAACCACATGGGAGTCCAGCAGTATAGCTGTTATTCCATCCCCTGGTCCCTCACGGACATATTTGACAAGACTGCAACTAATGGAATGAGGGAGAAATGAAAGACATAAAAGTCTCAAAAATTTACCTAGGTTCTTTGTAATAAGACTGACGACACTTAGAAATATAGTTCTAGAGTTTGGGAGAGAGGAGACACAGGCAACCATCAACAGGAAGGTACTGACTTGCTGCATTTGCCAGGCTCTTCCAAGAAAGAACTAAAAAAATGAGAGAACTCCGGCATTTAAAAATGTGTCTTAACCAGGAGGAGATTGGAAAGCAGCAGCCAGTGAAGGGGGAAAGTCGGACAGCAGAAGTCCTGGGGATCAAGGGAGGAAGAGAGTTTGATAGAGGACCAATTGACAACATCAACTGTCAATTTCAGAACAGCTTAAAGAGAAAAAAAAAACTTGGAAGTGTCTTTTGGGTATCAGGTAGTAAAGACATTCAAGACTTAGAAGATACTATGCAACCAGCCTTGTATGAGTTAACTTTCTTTAATGTTTGTTTATTCCATGAGAGAGAGAGACATCGCCAACAAGATTCTCATACCCCCATAATCTCAGCCAGCCTGGATCATGTGCATGTGAGTGCCTGCCTGTTGTGCTCAAGGTCCTGGATGTGAAACCAGGACCTTTCCCCAGTAGATCCAGCTGCATTACTACTGCTCTACCAGCTACCACCTCGCTCCTGCCAAGTACCGTTCTGTGCCTAGAGTTTCTCATCAGACACTGGATTGCTAAAAGATTACACAAAGTAATACATTTAAAGTACTTAGGATATATATATGTGTGTGTTTTAGGTTTGTGTCAGGCTGTGTGCACTCGCCAGAGAGAGACAGAAACAGACAGAGGGAAAGTGAGAAATCACCCCCAAGGGGGGAATGGCCACACCACAATTCCTTCTCCAGTCTCTTCTCAGGATTTTGGCACACATGCACATGTGCCTAGCGTGATTTTCATGCCGTTGGGTCCAGGGCTCAAACTGCAGTCTGCCATGTAGGAGTCCAACGTCTAACCACCATGCCCCCTGCTGGCCCTTGGAACACTGCTGTCACACAGGGTAGGTTTAATCAATATACATTTTTGTTGTAGCTGTAAGGTATCTATTACAATGTGCTAGATGCTAAATATACTTTTTAATTTTTTAAATTTATTTTTAAAATTAATTTATTTACATTTAATGACGTCTTTACAGTGTACAGCATTTCTTTTTTGAGTACAAATACCATGCATGGCAGTCAAGCCAAAGATATTACTCTATAACTTAGCAGCAAATAGCTTCTCATTTTTTTTTTGTCAACTAAGCACACTTTTACTTGCTTTTTCCTTCCCCATCCCCCTCTCTCCCTTCCATACTAAACTTTTTTTCCACATAGTATTGATTCACAAAATACCTTAAACTAGAAATATGGACAAAGCTAGAATCTAGTGACAAGAGCACTGTAATATTCTTCTGAAATATTGTTTAAATTAATTAATTAATTTATATTCATTTCCTGAGCATCATCACAACCTACAAAATATGATTTCCCATCCAGAATATACTGCATAGTGGCTTAATCATACATGATATTGTCAATAATTTTGCATTTCTAGTTTCATATGTGTGTGTGTGTGTGTGTGTATTTTCCCACTTCTCACCCTCTGCCATTTCCCACCCTCCTCGCACACTATCTCAGGTGTCCACAGTTGTTTTCCATTCCTTTTTTCCCCCACATTTTATTGATTCACAAAATCTCTTAAATAATTTTACTGCTGTCAATAGCAAGTTCAGATGGTATATACATATCTGTGAATACATGTCTGACTTTAGGTGTGAAACTGAGTAAAATGAATACACTATAAGGTAGCACCTAGCTGATGCTATATAGCTTACTACAGTCATTAATTATGTATTTTTAAATATACTTTTTAATTTCAAGAAAAGCAGTTTTAGCTTTGATAAACCAAAGAAATGCTAAGGAATTTTGCTTAAAACTTAAAGTCAGGAAATAGGTTAGGATTCTGTTCAAATAATAGGTACATGAACCTATCGACAGCTCAAGACAGGACAAAAATCCTTAAAACCAGAAAACAAAGCCTAGAAGATACTCAGCAATGTTTTAGTCAAAATCATAAAATTCTATTTCACCAGTTCAGTCTCACCTACTTTATCTTCTGTTGTGATTCGAACTTCCCAACTAAATTCTGGGGTATAATATTCAACTCTAGACTTGTCCCTACGATTAAGTTGGCCATTTTCTTAGTTTTTAAACTCTTATTTCTGTGTATATGGATTTAATTTTCCTGGTATAGCACTCCCTTGAGAACTTCTTGGAGATATGTTCCGATGCTGGTAAATTCTTTCAGGTTTTATCTGAGAATGTTCTTGTCTTTTCTCCCCATATGAAGGATAGCCTTGCTGGGTACAGTATTCTTGGTTGAAATCACTTTTTCCTTAGCACTTTGAATATATATTCCCATTCTTTCCTAGCTCCCTTGTTTCTGATGAGAGGTCTGCTGTCAGCCTGATGGGATATCCTTTGTAGGTAACTTGATGTTTCTCTCTTGCCAATCTTAGTATCTCGTCTTTGTCTGTGATTTTGGTCAATCTGGCTATAATGTGTCTTGGAGAAGATCTTCTTCGGTTGATTCTATTGGGAGTCCTTTGTATTTCTTGGTACTGGATCTTTGAATGCCTCTCTAGGTTTGGAAAGTTTTCTTCCAGGATTTCATAGAATAAATTATTAATGCCCTTATGAGTCTCTTCACCTTCTGGGACAACCACAGCCATCCCTCCCATTCCACATGCCGTTTTGCAATTTGTCTTAACCATGTCTCACCTCAAAAAGTCTGTTTTTCTTCCCCTTGAATCTGGGCCAGCCCTGCAGCTTACTGTAATCAACTAAATGTGTGGAAATAATATTCTGAACTGAGTCTAGGCCTGAAGAGGTCTTGCAACTTTTGCAGCATATCATCCTGGATAGAGAGCTCCTGAATAAACAAGAGGTAATATAGAGGAAAATGGCATAGGGATGGGAACTGAGTTATTGCCATGGACTCAACTCCAAAATACTTATGTTGACTTTTTTTTTTTTGAGCGTGGGCTTATATATAAAAGTAATGAGGATTACATGAGATCACATAGGTGAAGCCCCAATCCATAAGATTAGTGTCCTTGTAAGAAGAGTCAGAGTCACAAGAGTTCACTTTCTCACTTTCTCTTTCATGGAAAGACACAATGAGAAGTAGATCTCTGCAAGCTAAGAAGAGAGCTCCCACCAGACACCAAATCAACTGGGACCTTGACCTTGGATTTCCTAGCTTCTATAATGTGAGAAAATAAATTTTGTTCCTTATAAATTACCCAGTCTCAGGTACTCTGTTATAGCGGTACAAACAGACCAAGACAGTGGATAGTGATTCTGAACAACAGAGTTTGAGAACCTCCAGTTTATATGCCGAGGAAAAGAGCTTTTGGAAAAAGACACTTGAATAACAATATAACCTGAATAATAATAATAATAATAATTACAACTGATGATTACTGAGCATGTGTCATATACCATGTACTTTGTTGTAGTCTTTATTTCATTTAACCCTGACCACACACTAAGATGCATATGTCTCCATTTTATAGATGGGGAAACAAGCACAGAGAGGCTTAGTGACTTTTCCAAGACCCCACAACTTATGGTTATTACCAGAATTTGACTTAAGTTTGGCTCCAGATCCTATGCTTTCTACGCCATACTTCTGTTCCAAGACATAGTCATTTAGCATTTAGTACCCATTACTTCTCCATCCGTCCGTGCCTCAGGCTTCCGAGTTGCAACTTAGATTACAGCACCTCAACATGCAGAGAATGCACTCCACAAGTCTTTCATGCTGCTCTCAAACCATATCCTCACCACTGCTCCCAAGGCCCAGATTCCATACCTGGGAATGGTTTGTGTTTCCTAATGGCAAAAGCTTCCTATGAATTGGCATTTAGTTTAATTCAGTTCTTTGCTAGTTACCTTTAGCAAAAGAATGTAAGATTCAATTAACATGACTGGTGCTCTGAACCCACACTATCTCCTACTGATTAGCACTCCCATGAAGTGTTCACAAACATCCTGTTTAATTACGCAGACTGGGTATTAATCCTCACACTTGCTTTAGAGCCCAAGCATAATTCACTTAGACCTAGAGACTAGAACTGACTTAAAGCTCACATTCTGTGACCACCACTCTTTCATCTTGATCACTGATCCCTTTTTAAATCTGTGAGCTTCGTTCTTTCTGCTTGGGAGTGAATTTCTCTTAACAGATGAAATGAAAGCAAATTCGGAATTGAGGAGCTCCCCTTTGCCCATACTGTCTATCACTGCCGCACCATCATCCCAAGTAGCAGGTTATTCTGGTGTGTTCAAAAGTCTTATTCCTCTTTCCAGGCTGTGTGAGTTCCTTCCTGATTTTGTGATTGACAGCCACAAAGTTATAACTCCCATTTCTTTCCCTTTAAATAAAGGTTTATTAGCATTAGCATTTAAAAGATACACCACACCAGGAATATGCTAAAAGGAACAGAAGGTGATGTTCCGGGTCAGAGGGCCTGGCACTTCTCTGCTGTGTCTTCTTAGTAGGCACTCCTGGTTCTACATTTGTGTATCTTTTCAGAATGAGGTCAGAAGAGAGAGCAGAGGTCAGATTTCTGCTGACAGAAAAAACCTCAGTGTCCTCCATCACCAGAAGAATTAAAACAACAACAACAACACCTTTATGCATCAGTGAAGCTGCCTTTCAAAGTGGCTGATGCCCCTTGCCCTGGACAGGTCTGGACCACTGCAGCGGTCACTCTGGACACTCTTTAGAGAGAAGATTATGAAATCCAAATCTGGCTAGGTCATGTCACAAGTGGTGAGGAAATAACCAACTAGGTAAAGAGATGCCAGAAAGAAATATTCCAGTTGGCCAATAGCTTCCCTTATCTTCCACAGCAAGCCTCTCTTTACCCCCAGGGCTGAGAATGACTCTAGAGCAGACTGACTTCCTCTATCTGCCTGCTAAGAGAAAAGGTCAGCATGCACATTTATGGCTGAGAATATGGGTACTGAGCCCTTAAAAAAGAATTTCAAGATCCTTTGCTCAGTAACAAATGGCTTTGACACAGAGAGAGGGAAAGAACAGAGAGGGAGAGAGAGAGAAAAAACGTAAAACATCCATTATATTGCCTCTGTGGCCTTATTTAGAAAACCATAAGAAAAAACATGTTTGTCTCAGTCCCCACTCTGTTCCAGAATCTGCCTAAAGGTTATCTGCTGAATTCAATCAACAAATCAATATATCAAATGTCTGTTCAGTGCCCATTTCATGCAACCTCTGGTTTGGATCTTAAATTCCATGTTTAAGCTTTTTCCTCTCCTTATATCTTACATTAATTAATTAATAATAACTGCAAATTAATTGACTCTTATATCACCAAAGTTATTTCTCTCTAGATATATCTTATTTCTCTAAATATTTTTATATTATGTAAAAGCTTACCCTCTTGGTATTAGTTATACTTTGAGTTCCCTACTGCAAATTTTCTTGACTTTTCTTTCCCACCCCTAACTTACCTGCATCTGATTTTCTTCTTTCTCATTCTTTCCTTTTTTTTTTTTTTTTTTAATTTTGCCATAGGGCATGAGAGCTCACTGGAGAAAGACAGAGACAAGGAAGAAGTGAGAAAACACCCTTGTAGCAGGCTGGCCTCATGGCAATACTTTCTCCTCTCAGGATTTTGGGCACACAGACACACACATGCACCTGGTGTGCTTTTCAAGTCCCTGGTCCTGATTCAGACTGTGAAGCTGGTCATGTAGAACTTAGCCGCCTCAACCACCGTGCCACCAGCTGGCCTCTTTCTTGTTTTCTCTCCATCAATTCATTTCGTAAAGCTTTTATCAGGAAGCAAAGCAGAACTTGGAGTCCTAGAAATAAATTCCAAAGTTATTATTATGATCATTATATTACAATGTATTTACCTTTTTTTTTTTTTTTTGGTGTGTGCTATGTGTCATATGCTCTAAAAAAAAAAAAATTGCTCTAAAGGGCCAACTAGATGATGTGGTGGCTGAGGTTGCTGAATCTCATACGGCTGTCTGTCAAGCTGCAGACCCAATAGCTTGAAAAACACACTAGGCACATGTGTATGTGTGCCTCAAATCTCCAAAATCAAAGAGAATAGAGGAGAAGGGATTATAATATGGCTATCCCCATGTGGGGGAGAGGGGTAATTTCTCACTTTCCCCTATCCTGCTCTCTCTCCAGTGAGTGTGTACGCCCTATACCAAAAAGTACAAAAGAAAAAAAAAAGCTCTAAACACGTTAGCTCAGACAGTATTGATATTTGCCATTTTTCAACTGAGAAAACATTAAGCACAGAAATTAAGCAGCCTACCCAAGGTCATTAGCAGTAGAGATGGGCTGTGTGATTTCTGAGCCTGGCTCTTAACCACTCCTCTGCTACAGGGGGACCAGGTGAGTGCACAAAACCTATGTCCTAAACTGAACAGGCCCAGTGGCCAGTAAGACCAGCCTTGGCCTTGCACCTTCACTAATCCTGGCAGGTGCAGTTGTTCTATGCCTTGATTATGTTTGTGCATGGGAGGGTGGGCAGGGTCTGACCAATGTACACCTGTGGCCTGTGTGGTCTTCCAGAACAGCCTACACATTCATTTATAACCAATATTTATTGAACAACTGTTCTGCACTATATGCTGTATGCTGTGCTTTATTTATATTAATTTGATCATCATCGTGCCCATTTGCAAAAGTTATTAACATCCTGATTTTATAGATGGGAACACTAAAATTCTGAGGCCTAAGTCACTTGCCCAAGGTCACACAGCTAGAAAGCAACAGAATGGATATTCAAACTCTCATTAAAGAGACTCTAGAGGCTGAAACTTAACACAATCTACCTCCCTATGACTCTCATATCAGAATTGCCTGGCAGGATTTTTCAAATTTTATATACATTTTTGCAGAATCTTACGATCCCCCTGGACAACTGCAGGAAAACCAAATCCATGCACTTCAAAATGAATTATACACACCTTACTAAAGAACTGATCAAAGCCCAGGTGATTATTCTATAAACTACAGGCAAAACCCTCTGTGATCCTATTATTCTGCTAATACCCTTCCTATCTGACTGGGGAATCAGTGATTCCACTGCAGTCTGCATTCTCTCTACTAACTTATCTCTGGTGTGCATCACTTCACTACTTCATTTTTGCGCTGTTGCCAGATCCGCTGGTGTTAGTCACCTTACTTACTTCAACACAGAGACTTCTCTATTTGCAACTCTTCAAAGTTCACATTTTTCATAAAGATTTTTCACAAACTAGGTAAACATATCATTAACTTACTTACTTAATTAAAGTTTGCTAGAGGGCATGTGTGCTCACCAGAGAGAGACAGAAAGAGAGTATCCCCTATGGAGAATGGCCACACTACACCCCTTTTTCTTCATTTCTTCTTCCCGTCAGGATTTTAGGCATGGACACAATGTAACTGGGATGTTATTCAAGCTTCTAGGTCTGGGACTCAAACCATATACTCAGCTATGTAGGATCTAGTCACCTCAACCACCATGCTATGAATTGGCCTGGTTTGTTTATTTTTTCAATTGCCAGAGAGCATGCATGATCATCAGAGAAAGACAGACAGAGAGAGAGGGAGAAGGAGAAAGCACCCCCTGACAGGGTATGGTCAAGATACAATCCCTTCTACATCCTGTTGTGATTTTGGACACATAAGCACATGTCTCTGGTGGTTTTTTGTTTTGTTTTTTTTTTTCCAAGCAACTGGGCCAAGATTCCAACTGGTCAGCTCTGGAGGATTCACTCCCTTAATGTCTACACTTCAGGGCAAACCCTAGATATATATTTTAAATGGGAGATTCAATAAGTTCATGATAATTATTGAACTTTACCACATAAATGTTCTCTCTTTCAACTGGGTAGTACTTTACTAAGTTTGTCATCTCTTTTCTCTCTTTTTCATATAGTTCTCAAAAAATGTGTGTGTATGTTAAATAACCTTTGCCTTCTGGCTGGGAACAGAGTAATTTTTTCAGGTTTGGCCAGTAAAGTAATGGATTCTATTTGTTGAGATTAAAAATACTGTCCTTAGATGCATGTGGATATAGCAAATAAGCTATTTTTATTTTCCTTTTTGGAAAAAAAAAAAAAGTCCTTCCTTTTGGAAGAACATTTGTTTCCAAGGAGTTGGGATTTCTCTGGTTCATCAGACTACAGCCCTGAGCTGTGGGAATAAGGGAAGAGCTTATTTTACATTTCATGAAGGATCTTTTGAGCTTAGACCTCTTTGGAGTGAGTGTGGTGTACTGAAAGGAAGTGAACACATCAAGTTTAGATTCTGAAGGTTTTATGCAAAATATGAACTTTAATGAACTGCAGATGGCTACCTGATTTTGAGGATTTAGTTAGAAGAAGAGGTATGTCTTTTAAACTACAACTATAACCTCCATTGATTAAAATAAAGGCACATGCCTTAATTTTTATTTTTCGATATAAAAAAAAGACTATTATGTATCAGTTGTTTTATTTAAGGTAACATAATGTTTTTGGGGAACTGCTTTTAGGATACCATCTGAATAAAATAGTTAAGAAGTGGTCTTGTTCAGTTTTCAAAATGTTTGGAGTACTAAAGGTATAATTCAAAGCTTGTTTGGTGAGTTTTTAATTTTTAGCCTTTTACTATGATATTAATGAGTAAAATGTCTTCTATATATTATTCAAGAAAGAAAAGGTAGACAGGTTTTTCTGAAGCAGTTTTTTTGCCTCAATTATATTCCTATTTTTGTTCAGTCTCCAATAGTTTTCAAGCTCAATTGACAGTGAACCCACTTGAAGGAAATCCACTACACGAAACTTTAAACACAAACACAAGTGAAAATACAGAAGATGGTTGATATCATCAAAGAGAGATATCCAAGCGTGCAGTGGGGTGGGGTAAGGGTGGAAAGAACTAGGACTAGGGAAGCTAGAGAATGTGAACCATCACTGTGGCCTTTGAGATCTCGCTTGGTTTTCTTCTTCATTCTCACTTTTTTTTTTTAATAAGAATTATTTAATTTTATTTATTATAACTATTATTTCTCTCTTTAATTTGCTATAGGACACATACAAGAGAGAGAGAGAGAGAGAAAGGGAAAGTGAGAAAGCAAGTCACCAGATCCAGAACTTGAACCACAGAATTGCCAGAGAGCATGCATGATCATCAGAGAAAGACAGACAGAGAGAGAGGGAGAAGGAGAAAGCACCCCCTGACAGGGTATGGTCAAGATACAATCCCTTCTACATCCTGTTGTGATTTTGGACACATAAGCACATGTCTCTGGTGGTTTTTTGTTTTGTTTTTTTTTTTCCAAGCAACTGGGCCAAGATTCCAACTGGTCAGCTCTGGAGGATTCACTCCCTTAATGTCTACACTTCAGGGCAAACCCTAGATATATATTTTAAATGGGAGATTCAATAAGTTCATGATAATTATTGAACTTTACCACATAAATGTTCTCTCTTTCAACTGGGTAGTACTTTACTAAGTTTGTCATCTCTTTTCTCTCTTTTTCATATAGTTCTCAAAAAATGTGTGTGTATGTTAAATAACCTTTGCCTTCTGGCTGGGAACAGAGTAATTTTTTCAGGTTTGGCCAGTAAAGTAATGGATTCTATTTGTTGAGATTAAAAATACTGTCCTTAGATGCATGTGGATATAGCAAATAAGCTATTTTTATTTTCCTTTTTGGAAAAAAAAAAAAAGTCCTTCCTTTTGGAAGAACATTTGTTTCCAAGGAGTTGGGATTTCTCTGGTTCATCAGACTACAGCCCTGAGCTGTGGGAATAAGGGAAGAGCTTATTTTACATTTCATGAAGGATCTTTTGAGCTTAGACCTCTTTGGAGTGAGTGTGGTGTACTGAAAGGAAGTGAACACATCAAGTTTAGATTCTGAAGGTTTTATGCAAAATATGAACTTTAATGAACTGCAGATGGCTACCTGATTTTGAGGATTTAGTTAGAAGAAGAGGTATGTCTTTTAAACTACAACTATAACCTCCATTGATTAAAATAAAGGCACATGCCTTAATTTTTATTTTTCGATATAAAAAAAAGACTATTATGTATCAGTTGTTTTATTTAAGGTAACATAATGTTTTTGGGGAACTGCTTTTAGGATACCATCTGAATAAAATAGTTAAGAAGTGGTCTTGTTCAGTTTTCAAAATGTTTGGAGTACTAAAGGTATAATTCAAAGCTTGTTTGGTGAGTTTTTAATTTTTAGCCTTTTACTATGATATTAATGAGTAAAATGTCTTCTATATATTATTCAAGCAAGAAAAGGTAGACAGGTTTTTCTGAAGCAGCGTTTAATAGTTTTCAAGCTCAATTGACAGTGAACCCACTTGAAGGAAATCCACTACACGAAACTTTAAACACAAACACAAGTGAAAATACAGAAGATGGTTGATATCATCAAAGAGAGATATCCAAGCGTGCAGTGGGGTGGGGTAAGGGTGGAAAGAACTAGGACTAGGGAAGCTAGAGAATGTGAACCATCACTGTGGCCTTTGAGATCTCGCTTGGTTTTCTTCTTCATTCTCACTTTTTTTTTTTAATAAGAATTATTTAATTTTATTTATTATAACTATTATTTCTCTCTTTAATTTGCTATAGGACACATACAAGAGAGAGAGAGAGAGAGAAAGGGAAAGTGAGAAAGCAAGTCACCAGATCCAGAACTTGAACCACAGTTAGCCATGTGGAAGTCCAGCACCTTAACCACCATGCCAACCTCCAGTCCTCTTCTTCATTTTCTTTTACTGTGTCAGGTTACTTTACCCGAACTGTGAGAGAAGATAATAAGAGTCTTTGGCTTCTATCTGATGATGCCAGGGCTCAACAAAACAAAACAAAACAAAGATGAAACAAATTACTCACAAGTCAAGCAACTTAAAACCACAAACCTTTCATATTTCACAATTTCTAAGAGTCATAAATCTGGGAGCAGCTTTGCTGGGTGATTCTGGTTAACGGTTTCTCTTGAAACTACAGTTGAGTTGCTGGCCAGCTCTGCATCATCTGAAGGTTTCACCAGGGCTGCTTTCAAGAATGCTCTGGGACCAGCAGTTGGCATAATGGTTATGTCACTGGACTCCCATGTAGCCAACTGAGGTTCGAGTCCTGGACCTGGTGGCTTAAACTCACGCCGGGCACGTGTGCGTGCGTGCCCAAGATCCCGAGAGGAGAATGGAGAAGGGATTGTGGCTGGCCATCCACCCTGGGGAGTGATTTCTTGCTTTCTGTCTCTCTGTCTCTCTCTGTCTTTCTGGCGAGCGCACGTGCCCAATAGCAAAAACCTCTACAAAAAAGAAAGAAAGAAAGAAAGATAGAAAGAAAGAAAGAAAGAAAGAAAGAAAGAAAGAAAGAAAGAAAGCAAGAAAGCAAGCTCCATGGTTGGACCAGCAGGTGGTGTGGTGGTTAGCGCTCTGGACACTCCCACATGGCTGACCACAGTTCCAGTCCCAGACCTCGTGGCTTGCTTTCTCACTTTCTCTCTCCCTCTCTCTCTGGTCAAATTAAAATAAATGAATGAATGAATTTAATTTAATTTAATTTAAAAAGAAAAAGAATGTTCCATGGTCCGGTGGTTAGGACAGTAGGATCCCACATGGCCATCTATGTGGTTCGAGTCCCAGACCTGATGCTTGAGAAACACATTGGGCATGTGTACCTGAGTGCCCAAAGTCCTGCAAGGAAGGGTAGATGGAGGAGAAGGGATTTTGGCATAAGCAATCTCCATGAGTGGTGCTTTCTCCTCTCCCTTTCTCTGTCCTCCCTGCCTCTTTCTGGTGAGTGCACATACATACCCTTGAACAAAAAAAAGAAAGAACGTTTACTGGTTGGCTGTTGGCTGGCTTTCTTAGCTCCTCTCCATAGAAGCTCCTCTACAGGAATACCTGTTCTTGAGAAATAGCAGCTGGCTACCCTAGAATGAGTAACCTAAGAGAGAGATAGAGCTCAAGACACAGGGCAGATTTTTATAACCTAATTTTAGAAGTGGCAGACCATCACTTCTATTGTATTCTATTGGTTACACAAACTAATCCCTGGTACAACACAGGAAGGGACTACACAAAGGTGTGAATGCCAAGATGAGGGAATCATTAGAAGCCATCTTGAAAGCTGTCTGCCACAGTAGAAATTCTCCAAACACAGAATGAGTGTGTAAAAGAAGCTGAATGGTGAGACCAGCAGACTGAGTAATGGTTACTTTGCTGGACTCCCTGAGAGGAGACTAGAGGAAAAGGGATTGTGGTGTGCCCAGTCTCCCTGGGGGTGTGGGGGGTGGGGGGTGATTTCTCATTTTCTGTTTCTCTGTCTCTCTAGTGACTGCACACGCCCTATAGCAAAAATCTCTTAAAAAAAAAAAAAAGAGCAACTAAATTTTCCAATCTTTTTTACATCATGACATACATGAAAAATGACGCGAAGTATTCAGCCTGCTCAGATTAAAGGAAAAATAACTGTAGCCAGAACAACCCTACACCTCTCACCTCTGGCCAACCCAACCCTCTCCTGGTTACACTGAGGACAGAGAGGGTATCTTTCACACCTCTGTTTATGTGCTAAGACATCCTAACTAAGCCACTCCCTTCTGCCAATATTACCTCCTACAATCCTTTCTTCTCAGAGTACCAATAGTGATCTTTTAACTCACGAAATAAATCACATTGATTTGCTGCTTAAACCTCAAATGACTTCAAATAGCTCTGGAAATTAAACTCAAATTCCTTTGTTTAATTCAGCATTCAGCCTAACTCAGCCCCCTCTACCTTTCTGCCACCAGCTTCTAGCCACTCTCCCTTTTACTCAGTCTCGGTCACATTGTTCTCTTTTTGTCCCCAAATGCAATCAGCTTATTACTGATTCACTGATATCTCCTTGCTCTTTCTTCTACCTTAGGCACATCCCTTAGCTAGCTCCTTCCTTTTCCTCCCATGTTAGCCTAAGCATAACCTTCACAAAGAGCTTCCGTGTTGATCCTCTCTCTGTTGTATTTCACATCAGTCTATTTCTTTCATATCACTTACCACTACCAGAAACAATCTTGCTCATTCCATCAATGCACAAATATATATTGAACACTTATTATGTACAAGAAACTGTTCTAGGTGCTAAGTATCCATGTGCTTTATTTATTTATTGTTTTGCTTATTCCCATTCCTCATTCACTCTGCCAACTGGAATGTTCACTCCCTGAGGGTACAGAGCTTGCCTGTGAATGTTCATCACCAAGAAGTCAGCATTCAAGAAAGTGCCTGGCATACATGAAGGGTCCAGTGAATCTATGTTAAATGAACAGAAGATAGATAATGAAGAGCAACACTCCAATCCAGATGGGCCAGGCTACTTACAAGGGCACAGGTGGGGAGCTTGGTAAATCCATGTGAGCCAGTGTCTACGTCAAAGAATCTTGTGAATTGGGAGGTGAGAATGCAAGTGAGCATTTTGGGCTTGGATAGCTGCAGGATGCAGAATAGCACTGTGAAAAATTATCAGCAAGAGGACAGCAATTCACCCAGGCAATGTTAAATTTCCCTCCATTGGCATCTCTTTTGCTGTCAGTATTATCAACACAGACCCAAGCCTGCAATGACAGCTACAGGGTGTTGAATTCTGCCCCACCCCAAATTCACATCCTCCTGGAACCCCACTTGGAACCCCATCTAGAACCTCAGTATATGACTTATCTGGAAATAGGGTCTTTGTAGATATAGTGAGTTAAGAACGTAGAGATTAAATCATCTCGAATTGAGAGTTGGATCTCGCTCCAGTCACTGGTATCTTTATAGAAGGAGAAGAATCAGAGAAATACACAGGGAAGAAGACAGAGACAAAGATTTGAGTGATGCAGCTACATATCAAAGAATGCTAAGGAATTTCCAGAAGCCAATGGATGCTAAGAAGAAGCAAGGGAAGATATTTTTCCTAGAGCTTTCAGAAGGAGCATGGCTCTGCCAACACTTTGATTTCAGACTTCCAGTCTCCAGAAATGTAACAGAATAAATTTCTTTTGTTTTAAGCCACCAAGTGTGCAGTAACTTGTTACAACAGCCCTAGAAAAATAATACAATAGGTATGCTGCTTTGGTTTTATTTATTTATTTTTTTCTGTGTATAAATTGTTCAGTATTTCAGCCAGGCAACCTTGTAGCCAACAACTTGCCCAGCATTTGGCAAAGAGTAAAAGATTTTTAAAATGCTGTTGAAATAAATGTTTGATGATTGAGTGACCTGGTATCATTCCAAAAAACCCTTAGGAGAAATATATCAAAAGCTTTCAATGATTCTGTCTGCGAATATGAAGTCGAAAGCACCTGAGGAACCTGACCTTTTTCTGCTGGCTGAAATGAAAATGCATTACACTTAGATGTAAAATTATATAAGAACTGGAGTTAAAATGGAAAAGAAAACAGAAGGACCTAAAAACAAGGTTGCAATTCTTTAAGACATGGTCTTGCTGCATCCTCATCCTCCTGCCTCTGCCTCCCGAGCCTTAGCCAGGCCCAGATGATGGGCACACATGTGCCCAGCATATTCAAGGAGGTTTCCAGGCATGAACTGGAATCTTTCCATTGCATCAGTCTAACAGAGTGCCACATTTTACTACTGTGCCACCGCCTGCCTTCCTAAATAACTGAATTAAAAGATAAATATTAAATACCCATAGGGAGCTGTTTCTGGCCTAATGCCTTTCCTTCATGAATCATGCTGAACAGCTTGAGAAGAGCCCTGTGCCTCAGTCTTACATGGACAGAATCTATCAAAAAGCTCCCTTTTCCAAACTTATATAAGCTTTTCACCCCTCCACGACTCTGACTCTCTTTAATGCCCTGGACTTGTAACCATCGCATGTCTGTATGTGTGCGTATTGAAGATGAGAGTGTCTGAATGTGAGAAGTGTGCATGAATACACAGGTATGCAATCAAGATGTCTGAGAGACTCTGAGTACGTGCTCGTATGTGCTAATTAGTCTAGAGAGTGGCAAAGAGCTCTTGAGGTCCTGTGGATATCGCCCAACCTCTGCCACCAGAAGCCATCCTCCAAGTTAATCTCAGCGAACAAGCACGAGTGAACCTCATGCCTCTTTCTTGCTAGTCCTTGGGCCTCTATTCCCTATTTCTGGGAACAGGATTCTGTTGTGCGAAGTTTTGATAAAGATGACTACAGAAAAGTTACCAGTCTCTGGCTTTTTCTTGGGAGTATTAAGCAAGCAAGCAAGCTTAATTTTCTCTGCTGAATAGATGATGTTCTATCTGTCAGAAGGACTGTTGTCCGGCAAGTTCCCAGTTTTGTTTTGTTTTGTTTTAAGTTTATGGTTTGTTTTGCTCTCAGAGGGCCAAGACAATAAACCATTTGTTTTTTAAGAAAACACCATAAAACTATACAATGAAAAATAATGTCCTAATTAACTGATTTTTTTCCTTGAGCTTAAGCCATGTTTGCCTGAGTGACCATGTATGAGTTAAGGCCCAACAGGGCTAAGATTTAAGTCTAGGTCTCCAGAGACTATCCCATGAGTATTAATATAAATCTGGAATTTTCAGGGAACACAGAGTAGCCTAATGTCACACCACCAATGCTGTTTCTGGGTCAGGACGATTCCCGAGGCAAAAGGAACTTCTCTGCACTGGAGAGGCTTAAGTTTTTTTCTTGTCCACTCTCATCCCTACCCTCCTCTGTTACTTGCTGTCTTATTGCAGAACTGATACCCAACATGGAGGAAGCCCATTTGTGGAACTGTTGCTGTTCTAAGCACTTTACATCATTAACTCATTGATTCTTCCAAA